GGTCTTTCACAATGCCAGGATCCTGCATGCTCTGCTCGATATCAAGCTCTTCCAGACAGCTCGATGTCGTCGATGGAAGGGATTCCGTCGACGCTACTGGACTTTCTTGAGGTTGACGGTCTGTGAAGTATTGCTGAGTCGGTGGTATGAAGGGCACTAGCTGATGGATGACAGGACGCTTGACAGCACTCGGTCTGGAAGTCTGTCGATGCTGAGCAGGACGTGAAGCACGGTGCAAGACATGTTCTCCCGACCAAGAGCTTGATCGGTCATATGCCTGCCTGATGTTGTCGATGTCCGCACGCGTTCGTAAGGAGTGAGCCATTGTAGTGCCCGAGCGACCTTGCTCAGAATGTCAGGGAAGAAGAAGTACTAGAAAATGCATAACAGGGTATGATCAGTCAGCACTGTTGCGCATGGTGAAGTGCCCATCGCTTAAGTCGCACAGGGTGACCAGAAAACGACAATGTTGAGAGATGGATGTTTGAATGTAGGATTGTGCCGCGAAGTGACTCGGCGACACGGGGTGATGAGTCCGGCAAGGAGCACATTGGAGCGATAGAGCCGAAAAGCATGTCAGTATACACACATCCCATGCTCGAGCACGTTTTGACTTCCTTAAGTAGCAGCCACTCATGCAGTCAAGTAATGCAGAGTACGGCTCGTCGTCGATGTGCGCACGCAACCCTCGGTCTAGCCAGCATCTGATTGCGCCCCGAAAACAACACACGAGATGATATAAGCATTGCTGCGCCGAGGAAGAGTCTACAACACATACAAGCACTACTACACTGTGCCGAGTCAGAGCTTGTGATGGCGATACAACGATAAGCTTGCTCGGAGCATGCAGTCAGCACTGAGTCAGCCTTCCGACGATCAACTTCTCGGCCGACCGGGATCTTGTCCTTTGCTCGCAGTATCTGTCGCTTGCTCCTGATCATCGCTACTCATGCGAGTCGCAGCCGTGAGCAAAAGGCTATCTCCAAGGTGCTCATCAAAGCCGGAATCCTCGTGCTGGATCCTATGGTAGTGCAGAGGGACATGTGGCAGATCTGTAAGCATATCATAGTGCTTGTCGTCGAGATCCTCAGAGCATATCTCTTGTGGGTAGCTCGTGACATCCTTCAAGTCACAGTATTGTCTCTCATGCAGCACAGGTGAAGCAGAAACGCTGGTAGCACTGGTAGTGGCGCCATCGAAGAAAGAGCTCCGGTGTCTGCTGCTACAGCCTGGAGATCGACCACGGCTTTGCGGTATTGTAGGAGAATCATAGCCACGGGCATGGTAGCTATATCTACTCCGAGAGTTGATGTCGTCGATTGTCACAGCAGCTTCAGGGTCGATGTATTGTTTGCTAGACCTGTGCTTGGCGGTCGTGTTGTTTGGATAGCCTCGTGCTTGAGGTTGGTGGACGATAGAGCTGGGCAGAGATTGCATTCCACGATCCATTCGTCGTAGCAACGTAGCAGCGCTCTGACGATCCTGTGGTCGAGCGCTCAGACAGCTACAGACTACGTCTTGGTAGTAGTCAGGCATTTCCTCGAGCACCTCCAATGGTCGAGCGCAGCGCTCGGGCTCGTCGTTAAGCCTCGCCAGGCCCCAAAGCACCATGCCAAGCTGAAATAGATCGGTCTTGACACCAATATACATCGAAATGCGCTGGCCCTGCTCGATGAGACATGACAGCTCAGGAGGCTCCCAGCCGACCGGACAGCCGCGTCGGTTGATATCGATGATATGAGCGTCGTCATGCTCGTCGACGACAATGTTCGACAGGGTGAAGTCGCCCTGTACGAAACCGGCCTCGTGGATGTTTGCCAGTCCTTGTATGATCTGTCGGGCCCATTTCAGGCGCAAGTCAAGTGGTAGCTGCTCTGCTTCCCAATCATAGATGATGTCGACAAGAGCACCTTTAGTGCAGTAAGGTATCAAGAGTCCTTTGATTTCTGTTCCGTCGTTGCTGGTGATCAACCCTTCGAGATGGATGACGTTCTCGCAGTCTAGCAGTGAGTCCAAGGCGTTGACCTCGTACAAGAACTCATCGATTGTGTCTGGTCCTGGGATCTCCTTCTTGATCAAGATCTTGCCGTCGACCACTACCTTGTACACAAATCCAGAAACGTGTGAATGGTAGGAAATTTCGCTCTCGGTGTAAAGCTCGCAGTCTATCTGGCTCATTAATAATGCGGATGGGTATTCAATGATTTCGTTAGCGTCCTCGCGGACATGGACATGTAGCTGTCCATCTTCTGGTGTTGTTTCTAATTTGAGATTCGTAACGGTGTCGTAAAACTGTATCTCAGGCAAGCTCTCTCGAAGTGCATCGAAGATACGGAAGCTCTTGTCGCGCTGAAAATGGAGTTCGCTGAGCTCTGCTTCCAGCGAATCTGCTGGAGCATCTCTGTAGTCGAGAGAAATAGTCATACGCCTCCACAGGTTAGGAGTTTGGGCATAAGTGATGAAGAACTTCTCGCGATTCGATTTATCCCGGAAGTGCATGCTCAAGTTGAGGACCCAGTGATCCCTGAATTGCTGCTGCACGGCCGTGTCGCCAGTAGTACCGTCAGTGCCAGGAATATCACAGTCCGTCGTGTGTAGAGCTTGAGGCTGGGCTACGCTTCCAGCAGTGTGATGCTGCTGCTGCACGGCTACATCGTCAGTGTGAGGCGGACCCAGCGCATATGGCTGCGGAGCAGCTGCGACCGAATGCAATGGCGCACACGCAACGACTTCTGACATTGGTGATGGTGTTATCAGATCTGGCGCAGACGTAAATGGTTGTATTGCGCGCGTGGTAGACTTGTTGGCACTACAGCTGCGAGTCTGCTTCGTCTCACTGCTCTCTGCTCGACGCTTGACTTCGAGCTCAGGTGCAGGGAGCAGTCGTTCACGCTTCTCGCTCTGTTGGCGGTGAAATGTCTGTGGACGAGGCAGGGACGTAATGACTCGTCTCATGACTTGTATCTCATCAATGGAGGCCTGAGCTGATGTAGAGTATTGTGGCTCTTTGTGATTCATGGATGAGTCTTCCACAGGCGGCATAGGGGCTGTTGAGATGGCCTGGTATCCTTCGTCCGTGACTCCTTGCCATTGCCCTTGCCCACTTGATGTGAATTCTCCATGCTCTTCAAACATCTCATCATACTGCGCCTCATTATGTCCTCTGGTCTCACCAGTCGTGTGGCTTAATGGCATGGTTCTGTCGTCTCGATGCTATTGTACTGTATGTGTCGCAGCCACTGACTGTCACCGCGGATTCCAGCGCTAGCCCGGTCGAAGGTCATATGGTGTAGAGGAGGAGGGGCTTTCGATGTTGTACAATGCGCCCGGTTTCACTTCGCATGGACAAGGCGCGTCTGGAGTACGAACGCAGGGGTAGAAGGTTAATCAGGACGGGCAACCATATCGTTGACAGATCGGCGCTTTGTATTGTGAGGAGCGTCCTAGGGATGGTGATATTCAAGGCTGATCTTGATCTCGAGTTGACTGTGCTGAGATGTGGTTCAGACGTGTTATGTTGTCGTTGCTTCCTACTGGAGGCCGCATTGACGTATCGGCTCGCCAATCAAGCGTGGGAGCAGCACTATTGCTCTTCGCAGGGCACAAGCGCTTGTACTCAGGTGCTCAGGCTGGCAATGAAATGATACGATGAGATGAGTAGATCAGCTGAGGTGTCGAAATGAGCAATGGTCGGAGTCAGCTTTCAGCTTGAAGTCGGTATGGTAACCTTTTGTATGGCTTGCACAACGTTCTTCTTACATCTCACTGAGGACACAGAGCAATATCCCTGTCGCCTCGTCTACAATGCCTAGCATTTGGGCAGCAAAATGTGTTCCAACCGTGCTGTGATGCTAGTGCGAATAGCTCCACCTCCACTCATGCTGCGTTGGCATACTTAGAAGTCCCCTTTTGGAAGGCAATGCATGTGCGTCAATGAGTGCTATTGCTGCCGATCACGACTTGCAGCAATGTTGACACAAGCCTATTAACCAAGATGATTGTGCATGAAAGGAGGGCGTTGCTCTAGGGCAATGCTGTTCTGATCAAAACGATTGCGATTCATGGAGTCGAAACAGCGTACAATGCCTTCAACATGTTGTACTACGCCTGGCTGTGCTGGAGTATGTTGGGCAGCAAATGCCCGTCGAGCTTGCCTCGATTCGAGTCCACATGATAGCATGAGTGGACCGTCGGGAGGTGCCTCTTCGTTTTGTGTCTGCCTGGCTTGAATGTGAAGAGTACGATGCCCTGCTGTCGTGTCACAGCGGCACAGCCTTCGACGTGTAACTCTCATCCTACAACGCACTCGAACCTAGTTATGTTCCTCGCCGTCAGTGACCTACCTGCACAGCTCCTGAACCAGATGAAGTCTCGGGGTCGTTGTCATCTGATATGCCCGGGATACGGCTGGCGATCCTCCTGCGACAAGTCAAAGAGCATGATGAGAGTCAACATATAGATCGAGGACCGTCCTCTCATACTGCAGCTGGCGCTGATCATGTTTGCGGAGGGTTGTTCAGAATAGCCTGTGATTGCGAAAGTCTCCATCAAATGCACACGACTCTTCAGCGAGTCTACCTGTCATTGTCGTCGTCCCTGTTGAGGAGACTGCATTGTAGGCATGACAGCCATGGGAGAGACTCGACTGATTGCAGGTAATCTGATTGTTGTGGCCTGGTCGATAATCAACTGTCCATTGGCCGTGGCATCTCCCATGGGATAGAGCAGACAGACTATAGCAGGCGGCTGCTCGTGTTGAACGAGATTCTCAACTTGCCAGCACTTCTCTCGTCGAGCTGATCGAGCATTCTTGCGTCCAAACACTCTCCCAGTGACACTGCTGAATGCCCAATGGCTGTGGCAGTCGGTCGGACCGTATCGATCATGCCCTTGTGACCATGGACACTCGTCCGATCGTGCTGTTAAGATCCTCTGGTAGCGGAGCATTGTCTGATCGTGCTGCCCTGGCCGTCTGATTGCCAAAAAGACAAAAACTCAAGGGCCCAGCTGGAATTCGAATCCAGGACCACCTCCATTCATTCCTCAACTCGCCGAGGGGACAATTAGCCCGAAGGAGGTATCATACCACTAGACCACAGCTTGATCAGGTTAGCTTAGATCATTCTGCAACGCCAGGGCGAAACTCACGGCCAGAAAGTGGTCTGTGTGCGGGGTAAAGTGAATATAACCTGCGTCGGCGTCGTTCTGAGTCGTCGGCGGTTGTGTGCTCCGCAGAAGTTCGTCAGGCATAAACACTCAAGAATCAAGAGCATGAAAAGAGACAGAAGCGGAGGAGTGTAGTGCAATACAAGATTGTCGTCTCCATTGTCGTTCTCCGAAGGTGTTGTTGAAGGTTGGTTAAATGGTTGCCTCCTTTATGATCGTCGACTGCAAAGGAAGAGCGGATTGGTCGATGTCAATAAGAAGGAACACCAGAACGAATGCATGCAAGGCTCAAACTCCCAGGTCATAGCTTTTGCTCCTGTCCAGCAGCCTTGATGGCAGCATCACCATCGACGAGCACACACCAGCCTTCACCACCGCGAGTGCCAGGCGCAAAGCCGCCCACTGCAGCTCCAGGAAACTCCTTCAGAGCGTACGCCAACTCAGAATCGCCAAACGATCCTGGTTGCAGCCAGACGGCCTTGATGCCCACTTCCTTGGCTTCTTTAAGCAGACCTGCGGTGATTGCAGGTGGCGTGATAATGCTCAGACTCGTATTCTTTGGATGGCTTAGTCCTTGTGGTGACGAGACAGTGTCGTACGCCTTCGACTGGACGCTGATGGTGCTGCTACCCGGATTCAGAGGCACCACAGTCAAGTCGTGTGCGAGGTACCATGCAAAGATCTTATGACCGAACTTGGCTGGGTTGGATGAGGCGCCTGCGACCGCGAAGGTCGATGCTGAGAAGAAAGTTCTAGCTGCTGCAGACATGCTTGTTGTGCTATCATTCGCAGACATGGTTGAAGTGACGTTGACCTTGCAACCAAGTTAGCGTGCCTTCCTTGTGGACAAACACGCGTTTCCAATGACAACACCAACCGCAAGATTGTTGAATCAGCTTGACGATATAACAGACCAGTATCGAGACAGATCGGTAGTATGTCAACCTTCACAGATGTTCCTCCGACGTCGCTGGCCCTGGCTAAAGTAGCCCTAGCATCAAGCTTCCGTCGACACGACAAAGAGTCACCCACGAACACACACTGCACCTCCGAGCGAGTCAGCCATCCATCGAGCAGACCGTTCTCGGTCACCACAATGAGTACATAAGATAAGAGCTGATTGTTCCCAAACCCAGAGCATCTTCCATTCTCCGTTGAGCTCCTCCATGAAAGATGGCCACTTTCGCGTAAGCATACAATACCGCCCTGCTATCCATGTCTCACTCGTGGCAGGAAGACAACCTTCGGACATGCGTCATATGCAGCATTCAGACCGAGCTATCCTTTATCACTCTACAATGTCATCTTGGAATTCCACAGAGGGCAGCGCAAGCTTGCGATGGATTTGGGATGTGGTACTGGCATCGTAACGCGAGCTTTGAGCCCTTACTTCGATAGGGTTGTCGGTAGCGATCCCAGCTCTGGAATGATCCGACAAGCTCGTGAGCAAACATTGACGAATCTCCAATTCATCGAAGGCAACGCAGAGAGCAGTACGGATGCCTTTGGCGATGCGAGCCTGGACTGCATCGTTGCCAGTCAGGCGGCACATTGGTTTGACTTCCAAGCACTCTGGCCCAAGCTGGCACGTGTAGTCCGCCCAGGTGGTACTGTCGCGTTCTGGGGATACAAGGACCATGTCTTTGTCGACTTTCCCGCTGCCTCAGCCATCCTACAGCACTATGCATACGACCTCGATCGTGACAAGCTTGGGTCATACTGGCCACAGCCTGGGCGGTCCTATGTACAGGACAAGCTACGAGTGATTCAGCCACCTCGTGATCAATGGGAAGATATTCAGCGGATTGAGTATGAGCCGGGCACATCGGGAGCTCACTCTGGCGAAGGCACGCTCTTCATGGAACGACAGATGAAGATTGGAGAGTGCAAGGAGTATGTGAGGACCTGGAGCTCATACCATGGCTGGACAGAAGCGCATCCTGGCAGAATAGCGAGATCGCAAGGTGGACAAGGCGACGTTGTCGACAGCATATTTGATGAGATCGCTTCTGCCAATTCCTGGTTTCTCAATGACGACAATCTCATCAGGATTGAATGGGGAAGTGCTCTGATCGCAGCAAGACGGCGTATCGACAGCGATTGAGTCTCCGAAGAAATGTGTGCGACAAATGCGGCTGATCAATGCTCAGCATGACACTATCACCATACTTGAGGCATATCCTCAATTTCGTCTCAGTATTTGAAGTCGCCTTTTTGGATTCTGGCTGCTTGTCAGTGATTTCCAAGAGCGTCGCACCAATCTCACCCGTTATCTGCGATGGCGTGAGCAATCACCCGAACTTGGTTGACTACGAGGACTGCAGCAGTGGTTAGACGATCGTTTGGATCCATCGACGAGAGTCCTACTCAATAGGCTGACATTGCGTGCCTGCAACTCTAGAATTAGTTGGCATGGCGCGGATTTGTGGCACCAGACCTGACGACATTAACACCAAAGCTGACGTGACATTAGTTTGATATTTTGAGTTCAGACGAACTACAATGCACAGTGCCTAGCAAACATGGAACTTGCAGGCGTCCACTTTCTCACTGCTTGCAGTACTCCTCAAACTGCGTCAGTGTATGGCGTGCTTGCTATAGCATATTGTCGATCATGGCATGCTCGACAGTCATGTTAAGTCAGGAAGCTCCTCGCCAGCCTCACCCTTCAACTACTTACTTCAACGCAGGAAAATGGCAGACTCGAATCGACTCGAACAGCTAGAGGATCTCAAGAATGTCACGACACAGCTTGACTTCTACGAGAAGCTTGCTGCTGGAAGAACGGCGAGTGGCAGCATCTCCTCAGGACAGCATATCCAGTACATACCAGTGCCAATCACCTTGAAGGCTCAGCTTGGTAGTCCGACAGCACTGGCAATTGGTGCGTTCGCAACCACACTGACAACACTGTCCTTTGCCCTGATGGGGCTGCGAGGTCTGAGTGTCACCAATGCCTTCATCGGAGACTTCTTCGCCGTTGCTGGAATAGGCATGGTCGTTACAGCTCAATGGGAACTCGTCCTCGGTAACACATACGCCTACACCGTGCTCAGTGCCTTTGGTCTCTTCTATGCCGGGTTTGGCTTCATCATCACGCCCTTCTTCGGTGTCGCTGCAGCTTATGGAGGAGCGGACACTCCTGCGTACAATAACGCTCTTGGATTCTTCGTGCTCAGTGAGTGGAGCGATACAGTGTTGTTTGACTGGGCTAATGGCGATCAGTGTGGGCTGTGTTCAATATCTTCTTTCTCATCGGGTCCTTACCGCTGAACCTCGTCTATATTGGCATCTTCTTCACTGTGCAACTCGCCTTTACGCTCGTCGCGGCAGCGTACTTCCTCACAGCCGATGGCCATGTGGCAGCAGCAAAAGCAACAAACATAGCAGCGGGTGCGTTTGCCTTTGCGTCCGGCATGCTGGGATACTATACTGTGGGCAATTTGATGTGCGCAGAGGCTCTGGGATTCAGTTTTCCGATGGGTGATACCAGTAAATACTGGAAGCGAAAGCGCACTGCTCGGACAGAAGTGTGATGATCGTTGTACTCGAGAGATCAATATGGGTTCGGCGCTTAGGTACAAGGGGTGGTAGTATGTCAGAAGGATGAAGTTTCGCATGTATAGGCGCGTATATATCGGGACCAAAAGCATCAATTGTAATGCGGCTTGAGATGATCGATATTTGAGCCATGCTGTACAGAATGTACTCAGCCTGATAGAGTGCCGCAGACTGTGTGCTGCCATTGCAGACGACCGAGGAAGAAAGAGGAGACTTGGACTAGAAAGGGGTCATCTTGTCGGCTAAAGCCTTGTGCCACATCGGCTATCACAGTTCTTACGCGGCAAGATCTGGGGTAATGCAGGATGCTCCATGCCGTGATGTCAATGTAGCCAGATGGTAGCACATTGCACTGTTCGATCTTACGAAGAGCAGCAGCAGCACTTCTCCCTTGTTCTACTCACAACAGCACGCAGCAGTCAAAACATGCCCACATTCGAGTATGAAGAGCCGACAGCGAAGTACTGTGTACTGTCATACCCGGCACCTGGTGTACTGCTAGTTCGCTTGAACAGGCCCAAGGATCTTAATTGCATCAATTCGAGTGGTCATGCAGAGCTCGACAGGATATGGTCGTGGCTCGATGCTGAGCCGAATCTCAACGTTGGCATCATCACAGGCACAGGCCGTGCATTCTGTGCTGGTGCAGATCTGAAAGGTTTGTCTAAACATCCTTGTCCTTCCACAAACTTGCCACTCACAAGATTCCAACAGAGTGGAATAACAGCAACTCTTCAGGCACACCACGTAATCCGATGCCACCATCAGGATTTGCAGCACTCTCCAGACGGACAGGCAGGAAGCCAATCATTGCTGCTGTGAACGGTCTCGCCTACGGCGGTGGCACTGAGATCATTGTAAACTGTGATCTCGTCGTGGCAGCACGAAAGGCTACCTTCTCCTTACCTGAAGTCAAGCGTGGTGTGGTAGCCATGGCCGGTGCACTCCCTCGTATCATCAGGACGATTGGCAGACCCCGTGCTACCGAGATGGCACTGACAGGTCGAGTCGTATCATCTCAGGAAGCTCTAGAATGGGGCTTGATCAACAAGGTTGTTGGTGATGCCGACGGAGAAGTCGTTGACGCAGCAGTCGAATACGCGAAAGCCATAGCCGAGAACAGTCCAGACGCTGTTATCGTCAGTAGGGAAGGTCTCAAGCTAGGTTGGGATGGCCTTGGTGCCGAAGAAGGCTCCAGACACCTCATGGAGACCTGGTTTCCCAGGCTACAAGCTGGTGATAACATCAGAGAAGGTCTTTTGGCATTTGTTGAGAAGCGCAAGCCGAGATGGACTGCTGCGAAATTGTAGATTGACTGAATGACCATCTGCCAAGCACAAAACACATGACTGTAACGGTGAATCCAGCTGCAA